ATGCATGGCCGGCTGATTGAACACTCAAAATTGTCCCTAGGTGTGAGTGTGAGCACGGATGGTTGTTCGTCTCTGTGTGCCCTGCGATTGGTTGGCAACCGGTTCAGGGTGTCCCCCGCCTACTGCCCGAAGACGGCTGGGATAGGCTCCAGCACACCCCGCACCCCTTGTGAGGATAAGCGGATCAGAAATTGGATGGATGGATGGATGACTATCTGGATTCATTATATCTGGTCGTTTGTCAATCCAGGCCCAGGACACATGGAGACAAACAACCATTCCCACTCTCATCCAAACCTATGGACGATTTAGTCGTCAATTAGGCTAACATGCATGCTTATAGGAATGTAGGCGTATTTGATTCAGTTGTGTGACTTCACTTTATCTTGAATGTCCACCTCGGTAAAACGCTCACTCGGGGGCATCGTCAACCTATTTCCTGTCAGGGTCATGAGCGATGGCGTGCAACAGCAAGTGTGTCGCGGCAAAATGTTATTATTTTCAAGCTGGCTTGCTTTCCCAGGAGGGAGAACTGAGGAGATTCCCGTGAGGTTTGAGACCCCAACGACAGATGAGAAGCCTCCTCGAGTTACTTGCACTTATATGCAGGAGAGCAAGAAGGCGATTTGTATTCTTCCTAGTGATGTGAATGTGAAAGTGGACACACACTTTACACATTTTAAAACTGTTTCCAGGTGTCTAAAAATAGGCTTGTGTACTGAATCAATGCAACTGAACATTGATATTGAAGAATTGCCTCATTAACAGGTGGTTGGAAAAAACAATCCTTGCTTGTCACAAGATAATTCACAACTTAGACTTCGACTTCTACTTGAAGGCAAGTTGTTTGAATACATGACAATTGCTAACCTGTTGCTCTTTCAATTCTGATGTCATTGAATGAGGTCAAATGTAGGCGTATTTGTGGTCAAATGTGGTCAAAATGGAAAAAAAACAACTTGTTATTAAACAATCAAAAAATATTTTGGATTACATTTGAATGCAAAATACAATGTATTAGATTAATTGATGGAATACTAGCAGGGTTGGTGCACCCATGTGGGATGAGGGGGGGCGCTTCTGCTTGATGGTACCTCTGTGTGACAGTGTTTTCCATAGAAAGTCAGGCTGTCGCTTGAAAGTAGCTCTGGATCTTTGCCCACCTGAGTTGGTCATGCCATGGGTGAAAAAAAATGATATCCAAGTGTTTATTTCGTTAGTTATCCCCTCAGTTATGCACCAATGGGGCAGTCATGCAGAACACCTTGCTCCGAGACAATTTCAGAAACAGCAACATAGCTGAAGATTCGGGACTGTTGAGTACTTGCATGGGGCCAATAGCCTTGTTTTATGGTATCGAGTACTCGTGGACGCTGCCGGTATCAAACACTGATACTTGAGGGGAAAAAAAAAGTTGTCCTCAGCTGAACTGTGGCAGCTTTACACATCAGCGAACCACCATCTGATTCAGAAAGAAAGGTATTTGTTCATATTTTTTGTCATTGTGTTAATTGTATAAAGTAATTTTATATATCAAAATACTCGAGGTAACAGTTCTCAGAGTGAATGCCGATATTGGTCTGAAAAACAGTGATATTGTGATTCCCTATTAAAGATACAGTCAAACCTCGGTTTTCGTCCATAATCCGTTCTAGAAGGCTGTTCGAAAACCGAAACCACGCTCTTTTTAAAATAAAAATGTTTGTTGAACACGTCTGCTCACAATGGAAAGCAACACGAGGAAGCCTCACTTCCTCTTGTAAGGAAGGCGAGAGGAGTCAAATGGTGCATTCAAGTGTGCTCAGTTTGTTCGAGAACCGAAATTTGTTCATTATCTGAGGCATAAAAATCTCAAAATTTTTGGTCGAAAACCGAATTTGTCGAGAACCGAGACGTTCGAAAACCGAGGTTTGACTGTACTTGTTTGTTTAATTTCACACTTGACAGGTGGAAAGGCACTCCACAGACCCAACTACTCTGCTGTTTTGGCTTCACAGTTGTGATCATATAGTACAATCAAGCTGTCATTTTTGTAGAAGCTGCCATGCCACGTGCCTGATCCAAACAAAATAAAGAAGAAAGTACCCTGTCATTAACTTTTTTAGGGTCTTAATGAGGTGGTGCTATGAAAACAAACGGTAATTTGGAAACATGCTGGTATAATTAAGCAGAGGGCCACATGAGGGGAGTGTGCGCCGCAGAGGGCTCCGAGCAGCTAATAGACATGAAAGCTTCTTCACTTTGTCCAACATGAAAGAAAGACCTTAATAGGAATTTTGTGTTTAATAGGAAGTGTTTCATAAAGGTTTTCACAAGGAAAAATGTGGGTGTTGAAAGACTCCTTCATGGGGATGACACCATTGTGGTTAAAGTATGGGTGGGGAACACTATCACCAAGAACTGTGTGGGTGTTAAAACACCCATGTCCCCCATGGGTGCGATGACTCTGAAAAAGTCACCGATCAATGAGAATGGAAAAAAAAACCCCGCCAAATTAAAAAAAAAAAGATAATACGAAAAAAAAATCTGATTGCTGATCAACCTTGGATTATTAACGATTGTGCAACAGAAAGTCCCTGAAGTGAGACAAATTATGAAATTACAACTGATCATCAATTTGGCCTAAAATGCTAAATATCCGCTGAACCAATCCAGGCGAGGTATGACACCCATCACCCATGTTCTTTTAAGGGTGCAACGTCCCTGGGGCTCTACTTGACAAATATTCTCTCTCTCTCTCTCTCTCTCTATATATGGAATCTAATGTATATTTTTTTCTATTGATGGGCCAGTGCGGTCCCTAGCCCCCAAGACTATTCGAAAACCCCAAACTATTATAACCCTGACACACACACACACACACACACACACACACACACACACACACACACACACACACACACACACACAGAGTGCTTATGGCAGTTCTTTGGACGG